GACTGAACCAGGATTATTTAAGATGCCACGCCAATTCTAACGTTATGAAATATAGGCGAGCATATACTTGTGCGATTATCAGTACAAGTTGATTCTATGACCCGAAGCTTAATAGTTAAACTGCCTTTCAGATTCCACGCATGTGCCACTAAATAGAGCTCTTATTTCTAGTCGGATCCGAAAATATTACCAGTGGATAACTTATGATTGTGTGAAAGTCTATCCGAGCATATATTCGAAATGGCTTTAGTGCAAGAGCGCAGTTCCCGTAATAGTGATGCATAAGCTTACTACACATGATTATCGGAGCACTAAGGTCATTTTGCTCCTTAATAGCTGAACCCATAATGCCGGAAATCACTAAATTGTTGGCTATGGACACAAAATAATAAACGTCACCAGATGCTTATGAGCATAAATAGTAAGAGTATAGATTGGACTTGATTTAATAGCTTTCAGAAAGAAACTAAAAGCTGAAACAAAGATTCCGTTGGTCTTAGTACGCGATATCAGCATAATATCCGGTTAAGCAATGGGGTAGCGCTGGCGCTTAGTTGTCAGTCAAGAAGACTATCATGATATATAACTACGAAATAAGAAGATAGGTGAAACCTTTATTGCATGAAAGTAGTCAAGCTTGTAGCAGGTGACAACAGTTTATGTATCAAGAGAGGTTGTAGGATAAGAGCAAGCCATGCGAATGACACTATTGAATGACCAAAGACGCAGCTGCGTAGCTGACAGATGAATCATCCATATTTTGACACTGTCCTGATTGAGCATATTGCAAGAATTTTAAGGAGAACTGCTGAGCTGCTCCGTGGAGCGTCCGAGCATTATTACCATCACTATCGTTTGAGCCGGAACGTAGCGTTTCGATGGCATTCAAGAGTATGCCGATAGGATGTCGACCACATATCGTGTTTCGATAGTCCTGCAGGTAATCAGAAAAGGCGCTTGGATTCATGCTCTCGATTATTTGCATTCCCTGATTAAAAAGAATAGTAGAACACAAGGGTAAAATGATGAATTCTTCCTCCTTTTCCAGCCAAATAATGAGCAAATAACCTACCGTATGATCAAGCGCCTTTATCGACTTCCAAATGTCTCCGTGCCGTTTATCATAGGAAGTATAATGGAAACGTTTTCCTTTAAAAAATCAATATTTGTATAAAATATAAAAGCAATTTCAAAATTTTTTATATTCATATTATGTCTGTAGTATACAACACCATAAGTAAACCAAAAATTAGAAATTAGCAAACGTATACAGACGAGCTTACCCCAGTGGCAGAAATCTGAAGAGATGATAAACAGGTTTTCTGGATCTGCCAAATAGCGGGCAAAAATCTTCCCATAGACGGCCTCTCTTTCAGGATTCAGGGATCCAACTAAGATAGGGACAATTCTAAACTTATCTTGATATCTAGTCAGGATATAAAATTAAAAAAAATTTATTCGCAGCGAGATGAGAAATTTAAGTATAATGGCTTTATCTTCATTGTGTGCGATTTATAAAGGGCATTAAATATCTGGGGTTGCCAAGTCATAAATTGTAAATAAAATTTAAGGTATTTAGGATTACTCTATCTAGCTATTGATTAAGCATAATAATGTTATTTGGCCACCACCTGCGATTTTCTTCTAATGCGATTAAAAATGATAAAACGATAGAATTGCTCGTTACACTTACTGAATTTGCCTAGGAGGCTATTATTGATACTTTTCATTAAAATTA